AAAGCAATATCCAGGCTGAGAATCATCTACTACCATATGAGAACATTAGTTTCTCTCACAGGTGAGTGTCCCTGGCCTGTGTGGCAGATTGCGACTATACTACGATACGACTTGAGAGCAAGAAGAACTTGTTAATGGGGATTTGAATTTTAAGCAAAGATCTAAGGTTAAAACAAGGCTTTGCTATTGTTTCAGGCAAGTCTTTCTTCTAAACCTCTTTATTTGTTCAAGAGAGTATGAAGAAGATATGGGAAGGAAGGAAGGCACAAAATGTACTATGAAAAAGTTTATGAAGCATGGAGACACTCATCAAGAATTTGCATAAACACTGCCAATGACAATGCGGTGAATTCAGAGGACAGTTCCTAATTCTGTTTTACTGGAAGGAGGGTATGCTAGTCATTCCTGAGATGGTTCCATGAGGACAAGCGTTCCTACGGGACTGCACTCATAGGATTCCCTACACCACACCAAGAAAGGGGAGGAATGTCCCTACATCCTACAATCTGATTGGAGCAAACAGCAGTAATTTAGAGGGCACCTGCTGGACCACCCATCTTCATAGATTCACATCTAGATAAATCTTGTGCTGGAAGAAACATGTGTAAGATTGTCCTAAGAGAGAACCCTGCCCAAGTCACTCCATCACCAACTCACCATGCTCTTGCTGGGGGTCCTTGGCTGGCACCTTCTGTAGGAGCTTGAGAACATCTTCCTCCCTGAGGGCTGGAAGGTTTGTAAGGTGATGGAGAGAGTAGAGCACTGAGTGGCTGTCTCCACCATGTAAATGACACAACAGCTCTCTCTTTGGTATGGGGTTGCTGAAAGAGACAGTTGGGAGGAAGGAAGGGGAGGCAGTTTATATAATTGCTCTAAGAAAGACTAATCTCAATTCCCTCTTGTTCTTTCTCTCTGGCCCATGACACCACAGGTTTCACTTCCCCAAATACTAAATTTTAGTTGGTCTGGGATAGACCAACCTCAGGGAAGTACATCCATCAGGTCAGCTCTATTTGTGTAGAAAAAACCTAGAAATGGCCTACAGATTAAGTTTCCCAATTTCTGTGTTCTTCCTAGCTCAGAACTGACACAAGCTTCTCTGGCTTTACTTTGAATAAGGGCCCCTCGCTACTTCCCCCTCTGCCTACTCTCCTTCAGGAAGTGCTGGTGAGGTGGGTAACAAAATAGGAACCCAGATGTAGGGAAGACCTAAGGCTAAGTTATCAGGGAAACATGGCCTCGCACACAGTCCAATAAGCAGTTGTTGAATAAAAGTGTGATCCACGATAACACATGGCTCAGAATGTGGCCTGGGTCACTTTGGGCATGTTATTTAACACCTCTGGGCTTTGGTTGCCCCACCTTTAAAATGAGGATAATATTGGTATCTACCTCATAGGATTATTGTGAGGCTTAAGTGAAATCATCCACGTAAAGAGCTTAGAGCAAAGCTTCCCATATAGTAAGTGCTCAGGAAATGTGAGCTATTGTTTTTTTTATCATTGTCATCCTTCAATTATCCTCTAGTTATGACCTTATGGCTATGATGAAGATAATCATCACTTATATTTCTTTCCTGGTTTAATAGTTGGAATAATTATTAATTGCTGGTCACTTGCCAACTCACAACATGTTATGTGGAAGATGTCTTGAAATGGCCACACACACAGAGCAGAGGGTCAAGTGTCCCCAGTGGTGGGAAGGGGCTGTCTGCACAGGGCCATACCTGCTCTGCTGAACACACCACTCCAGGACCTCCAGGTGAGCCCACAACCCATCACAGGCATCCCTGAGGAGTTTATCACAGCCTTGGTCCTGTGTTGACATGGGAGAAGAAAGAGATGCTGATTCAGGCACCTGGAGTCAAAGATTTTGACCGACTTCAGGACCCTGTGTTCTACCTGAGCCCAAAGCCCCACAGCACTTACTTCCAGTGCAGCTGGGAGTGCAGAGTGAGAGTTACCTGGGTCCTGTGGAGTGTCTGGAGTAGCCTCTTGGCTGCGGCTAGGCTCTGGCAATGTGTCCAGCCCAGGAGCACGAGCAGTCGACTGAGAGGCCTGAATTCTCTATCTAGTAGGCAGCCAAGACTTGGGAAGTCTTCCTCTTTCAACAGTGTTAGTGCTGTCACCTGTAAGCCAAAGGAGGCTGCTATAGCAGCTATGTGGACTAGCAAGAATGAGTCCAGCTGGCTGCTCATTAGCGTAAGAAGCCTTTTTAGTATAGCAGGGAGATTTCTGACAATGACAGACGGGGCCAGTTGAATTAAAAAAGTTCAGAAAACACTAGGCTATAAGCTCCCTAAAGGCAAGGACTGACTTCTGTTGTAACCCCAGATCCTGGCACAGTACATGGCACACAGAATGAGGTTAATAACTATCTGTTGAATTAGGCTGAAGCTCAGCTGCAATCTGGAAGAAGGTAGAGTAATTAAATTTCCCTGTCAGCTAGGCAACATATTGTTGCCACTGTCTTTTCTTCCTCATACCCTTCGGAAAGCTCACACACATCCAACATTTTAGTTCCTGCTGACGGACTGATATAAAATGACTGCAGTTCTAATTCTGAAAGATACTGATTCTCAGAGGCCTCTTTCCCCTGGGACTGTGGATGGCCAGAACCAAATGACTCACCACTAATTAAACTGCTTTGTGTTGGATAAAGGAGTGGGAGAGAAATGAGGAATGAAAAAGCCTAGAGAGAATCCCTGGGTACTTCTGTGATGGAGAGTAATTAAGTTTGACTTACCAGGATCTGCTCGAGGAAGTGCTTGCTGTTGCTCAGGCAGTAGAAATAGACCAATTTCCAAGCCTCGGCTGGGTCAGGATTGGAGAACAGGGCCAGCATTGCCCGTTCAGGATCTAGATGATCCGGTGAGACTGAAAATCAAACCAGAAAGGGTTACTGGGGAACCAGGAGCTCTTCTTTCCTAATCTAAAGCCCATTTGAAACACCAACTGATGTGAGAGTGCACTCTTTTAAAAACTTAAATCAGGGGCTGGCACAGTGGCGTAGTGGTTGAGTTCATGCACTCTGCTTTGGTAGCCCAGGGTTTCTGGGTTCAGATCCTGGGCGTGGACCTACACACCACTCATCAAACCATGCTGTGGTGGTGTCCCACACACAAAATAGAGGAAGATTGGCACAGATGTTAGCTCAGGGACAGCCTTCCTCAGGCACAAAAATAGGAAGATTGGCAACTGATGTTAGTTCAGGGCCAATCTTCCTCACCAAAAAAAACACAAACAAAAAACTTAAAACCAGGTTTTCTACACTTCTACCTTAAAGACTCTTTACTTCTCTCAGTAGCTTCAGAAAAGCTCTTTCCTGCTATTGGTACTACTTTATTACTTTTTTCCATCACTTCATCTTGGACTACAAAATCTGTGCTTTTACAAAAGAACATCTTACCCATTTTTGCTTAGCCTCTCCCATTAGATTTCCTGAGCAACATGGAAGGCATCAGCCTAGAGGGACTTCAGAGAGGTCGGGCATAGTGGAATTACCAACACTTAAGGAGAAGCAGCAAAGGGAACACACCTTTTCCCGAGGGTGTGGCCTTCGGTGACTTTTCTGTGGCCTTCTCTGCATAGATATGGCCATACAGGGATACCAGGCCCCGTCCAGCCCTGGGCAGCAGGCAGCTGAGCATCCGTTCCTCCTGCAGTGGACTCCCCTCAGTCCTGCAGGCCTCCAGTAGTTCCTCACACAGGAGACGCAGCTCAACCCCGAGTGGCTCGGCAGGGCAACGCAGAGTCCGCAGGGATCCGTAGATAGCATCTACTATCCCAGGGGGCCCAGCAGCAGGGCCCTGCAAAGTTCGCAGTGCTTTTCGAATGAGGTCCACCAGTGCCTTCTGCAGAGGCCAGCCACAGAGGCCAGTGCCATCGTCCTCTCTAAGGAGGAGCTCCAGCAGGGCCTGTGCTGGCTGGGGAGTCTGCCTCAGAAGATCCCAGAGCACAGAGACAGCTTCTGAGCTGAGCCGAGGGGTCCAGCTTTCACGCCTCTGATTTCCGTCAAGCCCGGGGCCTACTGCATCTTGTGCTAAGACCTCACAGAGCTCCTAAATAGAGGATGAAGAGGGGGATGGGTAGTGAACACATCTAGAATGTTATTATTTGTACGCCTTGATGTTTTCCTCTTTTCAGTATATACATGCATGTGAGTATATATATAATAGCAGCAGCAGCAAACACTTCTGTAATAATTACCATGTGCCAGCCTCTTTACACAGAAAAATCAAATTAATCCTCATGGTAACCTTAAGAGGAAGACACTATTATTAGCCTCATTTTGAGGATATCCTTAAATGAGGAGATTGAGGCAAAGAGAGATTAACTCAATCGCCCAAGGCCTCCATGCTCAAGCTAGTCCCCACCCCTGCCTACACCCCCAGCCATTGCCTCCAAAATGTGCACTGTCAACCTAAATCAGGGACTGCAGACTCATAGACCAAGCAGGTGACAAATGACATAAAACATGCCCATCTCAAGGCATTTAAATTCAATTTTTAAAAGAACATTACCAATTTTTAACCTTGATCTAAATCCTAGCCATGCTTCAAGGTATAGCTCAATCCTTATCGTTCCATAAAGCCTTCCCCAATACCTCCAACCCACACAACTCTCCCTCTTTATTGGGCTTTCAGTGTACTGAAAATTAGTACCATATGGTTTAGTACATAATTGTCTCACGTGTGTATTAGTCATTCTCCCCAACTAGACTGTAAGCCCTTAAGGCAAGAACCTCTATAGCCTATAATTTGTTTGCAGGGTGGGAGTAGAGGGAAAGGGGATGGCGAAGTACGTGATTTCACACACTTGAGCACCATGTTCGTGGATGGCACTCAGGGATGCTTCTTCATTAACTGCCCCCAAGATGGTCACAGGACCATGAGTTCTTGACCTATTACAGTTAAGTCCCTACTTTAAATCATACTGTAAATATGTCTTTAATTAGCTGGTGGCAAGGTCATGAGGAAAATAAATATTGAGCCTTAGAGCATACCTCAGGCACTAAGTATAGATATAGTTAAGACTTAGTTTGAATCTGCCCGCAGAAGGTTGTTGTGAGGAATACCTATAACATATTCAGTGCCCCTGTTCTAGAAGAAGTAGTCAAGAAATACTAGTTCCTCTCTCATACACTGCTGGTGGGAGTGCAAACTGGTGCAGCCACTATGGAAAACAGTATGGAGATTCCTCAAAAAATCAACGATAGAACTACCATATGATCCAGCTATTCCACTGTTGGGTATTTATCCAAAGAACTTGAAAACACCAATTTGCAAAGGTACATGCACCCCTGTGTTCATTGCAGCGTTATTCACAATAGCCAAGACTTGGAAGCAACCTAAGTGCCCATCAAGGGACGAATGGATAAAGAAGATGTGGTATATATACACAATGGAATACTACTCAGCCATAAGAAACGATGAAATCCAGCCATTTGTGACAACATGGATGGACATTGAGGGTATAATGCAAAGTGAAATAAGTCAGAGGGAGAAGGTCAAATACCGTATGATTTCCTTCATTAAGTAGTAGATAATAACAACAATAAACAAACACATAGGGACAGAGATTGGATTGGTGGTTACCAGAGGGGAAGGGGGGAGGGAGGAGGGTGAAAGGGATAATTCGGTACATGTGTGTGGTGATGGGTTGTAATTATATTTTGGTTGTGAACATGATGTAGTCCATGCAGAAATAGAAGTACAATGATGTACACCTGAAATTTTTACAATGTTATAAACCAATGTTACTGCAATAAACAAAAAATTAAAAAAAAAAAAAAAAAAAAGAAATACTAGTTCCTTTCTCCCTTTACATTCCCTACCAAATACCGGTGAAAAAGTCAAACACCTAGTTTAAATCCAAGTAATGTATTCCTTTTACATGAAATGAAAGAAATCTTTAATCCCCAGCTATACTTAGTATTTCTGGACAATCCACCTCTAGGAATTCTAAAAATCAGATAAGGTTACCTTAACTCTAAACTCCCCTCAGAGGGGCCTCTACCTAGCCTGGTCTTGCCTGAGGACAGAGTATAGCCAACATTTGGGGACCCGTTTCTGCTGGCTCCCCGGAAGCAGAGCTTGCTGAGTGACTGTAACCCTGGGCGGATGGCTCTAGGGCCCTCTCTCACCTTGAGGATGTCCTCTGGAATGTCACCTGGGAGGTCTTCTGACAATAAAAGAAACTCAAGCTTTCTCCGGAGAATAGTTGGGAGTAACTTCTAGAAGGATCATAAGAAGGAAGCATAGAGATTAGGCATATGCTTTAGTCAACAAATTACAAGTAAATATTTCCAGTTAGTTTTATTTCTGCTGTTTCTCTAGCATATAGTACTTTTAACCATTAAATTCCTGGATATGTTTTCAGATACTATTCTTTATAAATGAAAACAGCTAAACTCGGATGCAAACTCCTCTTAAATACTAACACTTAAATCCCACTCTGATCAGCCTCAAACTCCAAGGTTTGCTCATTTCATGTGATTTTTTTCTGTCACTTAAAGTCTTTCTCCAAGAATCTCCCTTACAGTGTCCAAAATGCCCAGTTATGGGTAAGCCTGGGAAGGAATGGCCCACGTGATCCCCTTTTGGTCCAAACCTCTGTTTTCAGTATTCATTATCAGTTGGAAAATAAAAGTAAAGAGAAAGAGATGTAACGTTTATTGAACACTTATTATGTGCCAGGTACTGTGTGCCATATTTTCACATATTTTTAAAATCTCATTTAATCTCTAAATCAAACAAACCTGTGGCATAAGTATCTATTTTAAAAAATAACCTTTACTAAAGATGAAATGGTTAGGAAGTATTTTCCAATTATTTCAAGCATGAAAAGGAAAAAGTGATCCCAGTATTTGTTAATGAGACACGCCATCAGAGAAGGATAATGTAGAAAGGAAGAAAAAGGCTCTGATTCTTCCTGTACTTGCTTGTTTCACGATCACTTCCCCTCAGCTGGTCCTTAAAACTAAAATTATAGTCTCCCTTTCTCCGGACACAAATATAAAGAAGATTAAAGTCTGAGAGTAACCCTGACAAACCTTGCTTTAAATTAGAGACATCTGCAAATCATGCAGCTGGTTAAAGCTTCCAGGAGATGGGTTTTATTGAACAGTCTCCTAACTCAAGGGAAGAAGCACCTGCAGGATTGTGTGTGTGTGAGGAACCAAAACTACACTTACTTTATTCGTGTGCCACTCATCACATCAGAGGCTAACAGGATCTAGTATGTTCTTGGTCCAAAATCCTGTTTCTTCTTACCATGCCCTTCCCTAATGAACCTATGCCATCTAAATGCTCGTATGATGCTACTGATTGGAAGTTGGTGGAGAAAATTCATGCTGGGAAGCTGAAGGTTAGTGCTTCTCTTGAGAACTAAGAGGAAGGAATAGATAAGGCCAGATAGCAGGCCTTCAATAAAAGAACAAGTCTGGTTAAGATTTTAGGACTTTCATCTAGAATCCTAAAGACTGATTAGCTTATATTTATTTTACTGATGAAATTACTTTAAGCATACGCAGGGTCATAAATGACTAACATTTCTAAAACAGGCAAGAATGGCTCAATGTTTCTAACCACAGACTTTCTTACTATAAAAGCAAAGCATGTTCAGTGTAGAAAAATTAGAATATACAAAAAGGCAAACAAAGATACACACAACACCCCCCCGCCCCGAGATCTTCCCACTGAAAGAGAACTACTATTAATACTGTGGTCTAAGGACATTCAGACCATTTTCTACACATGCGTTACCAAATGTACTGTTTGCTGTTTTTTCCCTCACATAGTAGAGTATGGGCATTCTTCCACCATCATTGAAAATTCATTTACCACATAATTTTAATAGTGGCATGGTATTTTAAAAATAGATATTGTAAATATTAGATATTCCACTTATTAACTAGTCCTGTATTGTGGACGTGCAAGTTGTTTCCAGTTTTCCTCTATTAGAAGCAGCATGGCAGCGAACACCTCTGCAGTTAATCTTTGCTCACATGCTTACACATGTAGAGATAACTCACTACAAAATAAAAAGGCAGAAGGCAAGAATGAAAGAAGGAAAGGAAAAATGGAATCAGTTTTAACTAATAATTAAAAAGTAAGCTTTAGGCAGAAGGTGGAAGACTGGAAAAGGACAGCCAGCCAGCAAGTAAGCAAGACAAGGCCTACAAGATGAGGGCCACTCCAGGATAAAGACTGGCCTTGTAGAACTACTCTAAGAATACGTTTGAAGTCTTGATCCTTTATACAAAGTTTTAAAATTCTCCAGGGTCCTTGTATAAAGTTTAAAACATTCCCGCAATTGTTTAAACAACTGACGCACTGGAGCTTTAAGGACCAAATGATCTTTGGTGCTGGGAAAAACAAGAACGACTCTTAGTCTTGTGCTAAAGAGTCAGGGAAGTGAAATCCACTGCCTGGTCTGGTTGAGCAACTGTCCAGAAAACAAGAAAACAATCAGCCATAAAGTAAGCAAATACCCTCTATTGAGGGGAAAGTTCATCTGGCTTGACAAATTCCATGTTTGTACTGGAAAGATCCTTAGTCAGGAACACAAGACATATTTTTCTTCTTCTCTTTGTAGATACTATTGAATATTTTAGCTCAACTTTTCTCTTTTAGATCTGAAACTATAGCCAACTCTTAATCACCCTGGGGTTGATTATTTTTCTATTTTCCTTCTCTTTCTTCCCTCTCCTGCTAGTCTTTTTGCCATTTCTCTTTGCTAGATAATTGGCAAATTATCTATGAGAATTTGATAATTATCAATTATCTCTGAATAAGAGCTACATTTAGATTAGTAATTTCTGTTACTTTTTGACATCTGTGTGGATAAGGGTAAGTCTCAGGCAAAACACAACTAAAGACAAAATTCTGATGATTGAGGGGAATAAAGAAGAAAATTAGGCTCAATTATAGACATTTTCAAAACAGAATTTTTGGTTTCTTACTTTTCAGTCCATGAAGGCTAAAAATAACGTTGAGGTGGAAAAAGCAGAGCCCTGGGGACTCGAAGTCAGAAGATCTTGGTTCCAGCTCTAGTTCCATCAACTAACTTTACGGTGTGACTTGGGGCCAGCCATTTCTCTTTTGAGTCAGAGGTTTCTCACTTAAATCTTAAAGTCTTAGGTTTAATACAGAATTGCCTCAGAGAAATTTCTTTAATAGATATCAATTATCTGATAATTATCACATACTTCTAAAAAGGCTTTTAATGGAAATTTTTCTTTTAAAAAAAAGCACTTCCTTACAAGTTTTCTTTTACTATTAATTTATTTTGTTTCTTATATTTGGTAACTTTTAGTTCAATTCATATGAGTTATTAAATTATTATTTAATGAGGTTTAAATCTATTAGATTTCATTGTACTGGGCTAGTTAAAAGAACCAGGTTTCAGCTCAGCTCATTCTCCATTACTTGAGAATTATGAGGTTCATGCTTTATTTGCTACTTGTCACTATCACTGAGTCCTGCAAAGTTCTGTTCAGGCACAAGACACACAGTGGCATTTAACAAAATGGTATCACCTCAAACAGTATTACATGCCAATGTATGGTAGTGAATTAATGAATTCAGGTAAGGAGACAGCAATAAAATTTAAGCCATTCTCACTGTCAATTCTGAGAGAGGAATATGACAAACCTCATAATAGAGGAAGTAACAGGCAGAAGGGAAATCTCATAATTACTCCCAAGTTCTTCTCAGTCCCAACCTCAGGAGAAAATCTGAGATATAAACCTACTTACCTTTTCCCCCAACCATTTTTCCAGTATCAGAAGCCAGACCCAGGCTAATCTTTGAGGGTTGATATCCTGTCCACATCTGAAAAATGTCAAAAGAAAGAATTTCTAAACAAAGAGTTTCTACTAGCCTTTTCTCTTTTGTGATCCAAGATTTAGATTTCACTGCTCAGTCTGTTTAAAACCTGAACAGGCATGTCATTGTCCTAATGAGAAACTTTCAAATATATATATGACAGATCAATAAAACCAGAAGCAAGACAGAGCTGGCAGCTTTCATTTAATAAAAAGAAAAAAAAAGTCTGAATCCTATCTCCATCTGCCTATTTAGTCTTTATTATTTTTAAACAAAATAATATTACATAGAAAACCATAAAAGCAAAGCTATCTAAGGTATATTCTTGAAAATAGAAACTGAATCAAGTAGTATTAAGGAAAAAAAGGAACTTGATAAAAGTTTATTTTTAACTACATGCTAAAACAGCATTATAGGAATTTATAAGCCTTTCTTTGAAGTTAGAAATTTATTTATTTTTTATTTATTTATTTTTCCCCCCCAAAGCCCCAGTAGATACTTGTTTGTCATAGCTGCACATCCCTCTAGTTGCTGTATGTGGGACGCGGCCTCAGCATGGCCAGAGAAGCGGTGTGTCAGTGTGTGCCCGGGATCCGAACCCCTGGCCACCAGCAGCAGAGCGCGCGCACTTAACCGCTAAGCCACGGGGTCGGCCCCTGAAGTTAGAAATTTAAATGAGACAGTAACTGCCTAGAATCTAAATTTAAGGAAAAAAAATAAAGGAAGAAAAGAATCACCTAAGTCTTCACTCTACATGTGCTAATACAGTACTTAAACCACATAAGATAACTGCCAAAGTAAGGAAAAGTGAGGGAGAGACTGGACAGCACATTTAACTTGTATACCATTAGTTGTTAATAGCACTGCCAGGAAGAACTTCATTAAAAATTTAGATAGAGAACAGTGGTTGCCAGGAGACAAGGAGGGGTCCAAATACAAAGAGGTATTCTCAGGGAGTGAGCTAATTCTTTTGTGGTGATGGAACAGTTCTGCATCTTGATTATAGTAGTAGTTACATGAATCTATACATGGATAAAATTGCATAGAACTACATACAAAAATGAATGCAGATTAAAAAATGGTGAAAACGGAATAAGGTCTGTAGTCTAGTTAACAGTAATATGCCAATGCCGATTTCCTGGTTTTGATATTGTACTATAGCTATATGAGATGTCACAATTGGGAGAAGCTGGGGAAAGAGTACTCTGTATTATTTTTGCACGTTTTTTCTTGTGTGTGAGGAGGATTGGCCCTGAGCTAACATCCACGCCCATCTTCCTCTACTTTATGTGGGACGCCACCACAGCATGGCTCGACAAGTGGTGCATCTGTCCGCGCCTGAGATCGGAACCTGAGAACACTGGGCCCTGAAACGGTGGGCAAACTTAACTGCTACGCCACCAGGCCTGCCCCTATTTTTGCATTTCTTGTGAGTCTATAATTATTTCAAAATAAAAAGCTTTAAGTGAATTCACTTCCAGTCCTCTGTTAAAGCTACAACAATATCTTCAATTTCATAAGCAAGAAGAGAGCAGGGTTTGCTTTTCTGGAGTCAAAGAAAATGCTTTTCAATGCAGTTCCACTATTTACTTTAATGATAATAAACAAGAAAGGATGGTTTCAAGCATATTTTGCTGGCCAGGCTTAAATGCAGTTCTAGATGATAATTCAAAGCCAATATTGATTAAGTAATAGACATGTACTTTAGATGTAAATTTTCAGAGCATGTGAAATACACTGTCTCTGCTAATTCTTCAGAGGATAGTTGAGTGAGGCACATTGATGAGAGCCCAAATATCGAACCTTGTCTCTCCTGCCCTGTGACTGTCTGGCAGGAAGAGAGCTCTCTTACCTTAGCTGATTTGGACAAACGACCAGCGCCTGAAGTATATCTTCCACTTTCTGTGGGATATCCCCTTGTGCCTCGTGTAGCTGAGGTACACACGCCTGTGCCAGCTCCCATTCTCCTCTTCGAAGGCACTCACAGAAAAATCCAAAAAGCTGCTTCTGGGAAGCAGTTTCCTCTTTTCCAAATGGATGATGCATTTTCCCAGCACAGAGTGCAGGGAGATAGAAAGAGATGAATTACGCAGAACACATCGTCAATTTTCTAATTCGTGGAGCATCTCCTAGAAACCATGTCCACCAGAGTGAGAAGAAACAGAAGGAGCTATAATTAAACAAACAAGCAACTACTAGCCCGACTGGGAAAGGCGGGACTTACTTTCCTAACTATCGTTGTAACTTTGATTTGACATGTTACTATCTCTTTTTGAGAAGTTCACATTCCCCAAGGGGTAGATCTCATCGCTCAAGGAGCAACCAATATTTAATTAACATTAATCGTCGTATTAGCCCGGGGCGCAGACCCATAACTCCACTTCCGTATTTCCTCCTGGACTTTATGCACAGTCCGGCTCCCAATCCCCAGGTCGTCGCCTCCTTAAGGATGAGAAATTCAGTAGGGACCTCCCTAGTTGGAGCGCTCTCTGAAGGCAGACGATTGAAGATCAGGAGGTGAATCTGTGTCAGAACTAGAGGGCGGTGGGGGTTGGGGCGCAGGGACGCTCCCTTACAGGGGTCGTGGAGAGCGCTTCCACCCTCTCTAGGGTGCCATACACTCACCTGCTCCCGGCGCCCAAAGCAACTGAGCTTCCACCGCAGCCATGTTTGAGCCGAGTCAGGTGACATCCCATTCGGGAGGTTGCGGGGGAGGGAGGGAATGACGACTGACGGCGGCTACTCCTATTGGTCAATGGAGAGAAGATGCAAATGAAGCGCCATATTAGTTTACGTCGCGTGACGCCACCCCTTTGGACTGGAGAAAGCTAGGATGCTCGGAAGGAGTAAATCAGTTACCTTGCTAAGGACCGTCCCTGTAGGTTTTGACAGCTCCTCTACTCAACACTTTACGTTGTGCGTTTGGCGAGAATAGATGTGTCCTTTGATTTTTTTTCTTCCGCTCTCTTTTCTCTCTAGCGTTTGAAGTCAGCGTTTACTGAGCACCAACTTTTGCCAGGTCCTGGGGATACCCAGAGCAAGGAGACCTGGATCCTCCTCCATTATTATTCTATCCACGTGGGCTCTTTTATAATCCCAGAACCCTACGTACTGAATGCCCATTTTTCTTCTACTTAACTCCATTTATTTGCTCATTTACCTGACAACCGTTAATTGAACAGTGTGCTAGGCCCTACTTTAGAAGCTGAATAAGTCGCGGTCCCTGTCCTCAAGGAGCTCACAGTCTGGTGAGGGGTGAGGTCAATAATTAGGATATAGTGGGCTAAATTATAAGAGAGGTAGGCAAAGGGAAGATGAGAGCAAAGAATGAGCAAGAGCTTTTCGCAAATATAATAATCTGAAATCGACTCTTAAAGTAACGGCTTACTAGGTTTCCTCATCACAGCTGCTTTTATTACCGACCCTTCTGTTTGATTTCCTTCGTGTTCTTCAACTACAGAGTCTCACGTTTCCCCATTATGTGTTTTCAGTTTGAGAAATTTCATTCAGCATTTACTAAACTATTTCACCACCAAAAGATGGTGAAAAAAGCAAACCGAAACAAATCAAAAGCTCTTTTTCAAAACCTCTTCTATGGTAGGTGGATTCTCATCTATTCCCAGAAAATTAACATGCCTCTCGGGTTCATTAAGCAATTTTTAAATGTAGTGACAAAAGAAATAAAAGAGAAATTTCCAAGCAAAGTTTTTCCTTGCTTCCTACTCTGCTTGCTGATGTTCCTCCACCGGATTTTGATTAACTACTGCACTGAGAAACTGACCTGAACTCACAGATTTATTATAGAGTGTAAACTACAATTCCCAGCAAGCAGCGGAACCGACCTGGGCCTTTGCCTACCTCTGATTGGGTATTTTTCCAGGGTGACGACCCAACCAGCACTCCGTTTGTTGCCCCGCAGAGCTTTCCGCGGGGAACTGTGTGAGGGGTGGGGAAAACTTTGAAAGTTGGATGCTGCAGACCCGGTACTGGAAAGTTTCCTGTGGGGGGCAGTTGTGGGGAAGTGGGGTGCGCTCATTGTTTCCCGCTCGCTCCCTGGGCCCGTGGGTATTGATATCGGGGGAGAGGAGAGTCACTCTTGGGTGCAGGCCACGCCCACTTAGGCCGGTAGGGATCTCAACCAGAGCGCCGCCGCGGATCTGGGGGCTTCTGGCCTGCTTTTGTGGGGGATGCTTGGAAACTGCTCGTTGTTGGAAAAAGCTCTTTTTAGGGGGTTATGGGGTGATGTTTTCGCCTCTTAATGCTTACCCCCTCCTCCCCTTGCTAGGCAGGGGAGCCCGTAATTAGGGGAAGTTTAGGGTCTGCCCCACTTCAGGTGGTGTTCAAAGAGAGGTAGTTAATAGCCTGGAATCTGGAGTCAGATCCCTGCGTTCGAATGCGAACTCCACCATATGCTAGCTGTTAGACTTTGCGCAAGTGTTCCAACTCAATGCCTTAGTATTCTTAATCTGTAAAATGGGGTAAAACATCCGAAGCGCTTGGAACAGTGTCTGGCACGTAATAAGGGCTCAGTAAATATGAGCTCTTATTGTTACTTAACAGTTTTCATTGACCATCTAACATGAGGACTTTTCTTGTTGAGAGTATTCAATCTCCAGGGTTGAATATCTTCCCTTACCCCCTATATTTGGGCGCGCGCGCGTACACACACATGCGCGCACACACACAGACACACACAGAGCAGGAACTCAGTCTCAGGTGGGAGAAACAAACGTGCAAGCCGTGGTAATACGTTAATAAGATGATCGAGCAAATATGTACAAGATGTGATGAGAACGTTGGAGAGCAAGAGACTGAGTTGAGGGAAGGCTTTGTGGAGTAAAGTCATGGAGGCAGGATAGCGCGTGCATAACCTACGAATATACTGTTGTGGCTGGAGAGCAGGTCATGTGTGAGGTTGCAAATGATGTTTTGCTGAATGAATTGATAATGATCGTTAACCGTGAGCACTGTGTACCAGGCACCATCCAAATCCTTTAACCTTCACTACGTTCCTGTGAAGTAGATATGTGAATTACCTTTGTTTTTACAGGTGAGGAAACTAACACTGAGAGGCGAAGTAACTGCCAGGAAGGCCAGGATCTGTCTTTGCAAACCGATGTATGAATGAGAGGGAAGTGTGGGACCAATTTTTAAAGGGTCTTTATGGGATCCTAAGGAGTGTGGAATTTATCCTGTGGTCTAATGGTTTGATGGGCGGTTTTAAAGGATGTGAGTGACAGAATTGAGCAACGTTTTAGTAATCTGGCGGGATTGTGGCACTGACCTGACTTTTGCAGGCCAATTTGGTGCTTCTTCCTGTCTACATCCTTAGCACATTTAAATACTATGACACTACTTATTGCATGACTCTAATTATTTGTGTATACATTTCTTTTAATCTTTTGCTGTGAGTTCCCAAAGGGGAGGGAATAGGCTTAAATGATTCTTGTATCCCAGAGCTCAGCAGAGTGTGCACTTAAGTGACAGTGGAAGGAACAAATGAATGGATTTTTTTTGATGGGGCAGGGAGTGACCAGAGGCAGTATGCAACAGACCAGGCAAGTGATGGGAGTGGCCCAATAGGGCAGAGAGAGCAGAGTTGGTCATTGTTAAATTCCAGATAGTTTGGCGTTAACAGTTCTCCTTTTTGAATGAATTTATCTGTCTAAATGGTGTCATTACCTGGAACTACCTGATCTCTAAAGACACTAGGCAATGATAGAGCAAATGTCACTTGGTAAACTTTCTTTTGAGGAAACAGAAATCAATACTGACAAATCCTATTGAGAGAAGTGAGAGGGATGCATTTTGTGTTTGTGGGAGGTGTGTGTGTGTGTGAGAGAGAGAGAGCGTGTTTCAATTTGAGAGGATTTAGATGTTAAATAGAAATTTGGGCCACGGTATTGGAAACAAACAAATATGTACATTCTTAGTGTATATTTTTGTTCCAATGTTACTCCTTTTCTGATAATTATATTGCTTTATCCCCTGGGACAATGAAGAGTTCCTATTTCTGCTTATCCAGAGGATATTTTGCTACCCGAGTGAGTGGGATACACTGCCTCTCCTTTGCATGCATTAAAGGGACTCACAGTGATTCCGTTCTAACCCTCTGAAGGCAAACATTTCATGAGCCTCCTTTAGCCCTAGGGAGGTTCCACGAGTGAAATTTAATTGTATGTGGGAATGTGAGCAGCTAGTATAATAAAAAACAATTTCGATTTGTAAATAACACCTGGAATAATAAAATCTCATTTGATTCAGAGGTTTGTTCTGACTCATAGAAAAAAGGAGAGGTTAAATATGATTATGGACTTGTAGAGTATAATGGGTAAGAGGATAGGCTTCAGAGTCAGACTTGCTGGGTTCAGATTCTGAATCCACCATTTACTTTTCCTGGTGATACTGGAATAGCTAACCTTTCCAGGCTTTAGTTTCTCATATGTAAAAATGGGGCCAATAATCAACCTTCGGTATAGGGCTGTTGAGAAGATTAAATATGATAATTTATGTACAGCTTTGAAACTGTGCTGGTAACTGGTAGGTGCTCAATAAACTGATCGTTAGAGTGGAATGAAAGTAAATACTCATTAGGAGTGCTGTTTGGAAATATGCCTTGAAGGTTAATTAAACATCCAAATAAACTTTATAAATGCATTGAAAATCTTAAGATGCCATACAAATGTGAAGTGGTGTTATTATATTCATGTAGTAAGTATCAAAGAATTGTGTTGAAATGCACATTCTTATGTTGCCTTGGTTTTCTGTGTGCAAGTTTGACAAATAATTGTCTCTCCTATTTAAAACATTTAGGAAGATTCTATAGCCTTCCTTTATTTTATCAGTAATATTTTAAATACTATACACTTCATTTTGCATATGGAGAAGTTTGAAGACTTTTTAATTGGTAGAATGTTTTGGATAGCCCATCTACTATCACTTATGCTATTTTCTGATGTTTTTTCAAGGTTCTTTTTTTTCTGCATCTGGAGGCATGGGTAGCAAGAAACTGAGACGAGTGGGTTTATCACAAGAGCTGTGTGATCGTCTGAGCAGACATCATGTTGTTACCTGTCAGGTAAAATGTATTTAGTTTTTCTCAATGAGAAACTAAGTGCAAATTAATTTTAAATTAACTCTTTAATTTAACAAATTAAATTTAGCAAATTAACTCTTAAGTAAGCCTTAAGTAGCTAATAGTTGAATTTTGAAAGCTTAGATTTATTTAAAAAAAAAGATAAATGATGGTGCTTCTCCATAGGCTAATTTTAAATAACAAGCCACTTAGGTTGTATTTCCAAATGTGATTTCATTTATCCAAATACGGTGTTTTTGTATTTTGGAGGAGGAGAATGCTCATGGAATGAGGTGAAGTACACCTGTGCCGTTTATTTGGGATTCTAGAGAAGTTTTATCTGCTTAAAAGAAATTTTGTAGTTACATGAGAAATGTGACTGAAATGAGGAGGTGATATTCAAAATGGATAATTTCTCTTAAAAGCAAGAGGAATTAATAGTTAGGATCGTTTTCCTATTAATGGGTTGAGAGAAATGTATAGAGCAGATATTTTTTCAGTACAATAGGGAAGCAAATCCCTCTTAAGAGATTAAATAAGATTTAAGGTTTTATTTTAGGATTTAATCCTTAATAAGACAGACTTTCAGAGCATGCTGCAGTTTTTAAAAAATTGCTTTGTGTGCAATAACGATATCTTTGGTTCCTCTGTTATACAGTTAGTAAGCCTCACGTTCATACTTTGAAACGCTCCTAAAAGTATGAAATTTAACGTTTCATTCCATAGTCCATTTTATTCTCTCTCAATTATCAAATACTTCCTCTGAATGATCTCATAGTTTAGGAAGAAACTCATTTCAATCTGACACTTCCTGGGCATCTATTACTGCCCAAACTTTTTGAGGAGCATGTGTAGTATATACACCTGGGTTGGATGCTGCTGCTAGGTGATGTCACATGGTGTGTCCTCTGGTATGTGCCAACTAAGTTGGTTAATTACAATGTAAGACTATCATCATGTCTTTTAGTTAAGGCATATTTAGGGGGAAAATACTATAAGGAACACATAAATCTTTGATCTGCGTTAAATTTCACTTTTTTCCGCACGTGAACAGTATAAATTGAAATTTTCTTTTTAATTCCAGTATCTTTATTGCACCTATATATTTAGAATAATCTCTTTATGTCTCTTTAGGACTTTTTATGTCTTTCCCCGCTGGAGCTTATGAAAATGACTGGCCTTAGTTATCGAGGTGTCCATGAACTTCTGTGTATGGTCAGCAGGGCCTGTGCCCCACAGATGCAAACGGTACATATATATTTTTTGATTTGATTATGATTTTTATTTTGAAATGATTCTTTATCTCATTTAAAATTTGTTTGGGAGGAGGCAAAAGCAAAAATAGAGATCAGTACATCAAAAATATCAACCCTCACATCATAATAGAGTTAGTTCTCTAATGAGAAGGTACATGAAAATTTTATGTAGCTTATAAGCTCATGGGAGACAGTTCCTAACTGTGGGAATTAGGGGGCAATAGGAAGTTTTTTCTCAGTAGCTGTTTTTAATGATGTTAGCTGTTGATAGTGATATTTCAAAAGGTTATCTTTCTCTTTTGTTGTTTGGGTAGGATTTGCGGACCTCATGGTTAAATTATAATATACTCTTAATATAATACTAACTTTTACCACCATCATTTACTCTACATCGTGAAGTACACATATTGGACTTGCTTATTAACTGAATAAATAATACTTAAAAATTTATCCTCACTCTTGAGAAGAGTTAAAGTCTTTTATAACAAGCCCTCATCAAGTTATACTCTTTTTCATACTTTCTGTCTCATGACTTTAGCTTTTCAAAATGTGGGTTATGTGCATGGTGGAAAAGATCTTGTTTTCCCAGAGTAAGAGTTGCCTAAAAGTCTGTTCAGTGCTTTGCAAATGTATTTATTTATGTGAACTGTAAATTGCTTACCTTACTATCTCATATTGAAGTTTGGTAACCATTATAGTATAGTAGGGTGTAATTCTATGAAGGAGGAAGGAAGGAATGTTAGAGTCATTTAATACTTCTGAAACAATGAACAGATAAAGTATTTTCTTTTGTTCAGATTTAGCTTGTGGTCTAAGGAAAATACCTTACAGGCAGAATAGTCAGAAGAATTAGAATCAGAGTTAGAGATGGGCATTGGTCTTAGCTTTTGCATTGATCTCTAGCTTTGAACAGCTCACTTTGTTTTATGGGAGAAGTTAGAGGGTTAAAATAGCATGCGATGATTCTGTGACGGGGTTCAAATTATTACTATTTTGAAGGTTGTAAAGCACCAAGAAAACCTTTTCATTTGACCATCTGTCATTCTACTTGGTCAATATCTATGGCATATTTCCATTTAGGTAATTAAATAAGAAAGTGTGGGCAGAAAATTCAACTTTAGTCTCCACTTCCATCACCACTTTCAATACCATTCCAAATGCCAATTCAAGAAGTCATCCTTCTCCTTTGTTGTATATTCACTCTTGTAGCATTCTTTAGCTTTGAGTCTTGCCCTCAACATTGGCTTAGCCTTAGTTCGTTCCTTCAAGCAAGACTTTTTTTTCATTTATTTGTTCATTTATTCAATCATTTATTCCTTTAACCAATATTTATTGAGTGCCAGCCATGTTTCAGGTACTTTGTCAGGTACTGGGGATATTGTAGTGAACAAGATTGATAAGGTTCCTGCCCTCATCTAGCTTACTGTCTAGTGGGAGAAGTCAGACATTAAACAAAGAATAACATAAATAACTAGTTAATTGTAGTGATAAGTCCTATGAAGGAAGAATACAATGAGCTTTGAAAGTTAATAACAGAGGACGTTACTTGAGAGGTCAGGAAGGGATCCCTCAAGGAAGTGACACTTAAGCTGAAACCTGAAGGATGAATAGGAGAGAGAGAGGCAGAGGGGTTGGGAAGGGAGGTGAGTGGGAAGAGTTCACAGGCAGTGGGAGGAATGAATGCAAAGGCTGGGTGAAGAGAAGGAGAACGGCGTTTGTATGGTAATGCAGCCAGGCTGGTGTGAATGGAACATAACATTGGGGAAGAGAGTGGCAAGAGATGAAGCTAGAGAAGTAAGCAGGAGTCAGGTCACTAGGGCCCACAGACTATGTTAAGGATTTTGGACTTTATTCTGAGAGCAATGAGAAATCATAAAAGGGTATAATCTAACATGTGTTTTTAAAAATTCAGTCTTGAATGTAGGAAAATGATTGAAAAGGATCAAAAAGATATTCATGAAGACTGGTTATGTATCTATTACTGTATTCCAGACAGGAAGTGATTGTGACATGGATTATCAGTGTGGTATTAATGCAGATGATGTAATGTCAATTAACATGAGAGATATTTAGGGGGTAGAATGAGTAGGATTTAGTGATTGTTTGGCTGTGGGTGCTGATGAGGGACAGGAAGGTGTCAGAGATGATGTCTTGATTTTTGCTTTGAGAAACTGGGTGGTAGCATTTCCTGAGATAAGAAATACTGGGAGAGGATCAGGTTTGAGGGAGGCGGGTCATGAATTCAGTTAGTACTTGTCTAATTGAAGGTGCTTGTGAAGCACTGAGTGGAAATGTGGAGAAGGCAGTTAAATACATGGACTGCAGCTTGACGCAGAGGGCTGCATTAGAAGTATGCATTTGGGAGTCATTGGTGTAAATATGATGGTCAAAGCCATGAGAATGGATGAGTCATTGCCTAGGAAGTATGTACAGGAAGAAGGTAAGTATTACCCAAGACAAGTCCTGAGTGAAGCCAACATTTAAAAACAGATTAGACAATGACGAGTCTGAGAAGAAACAACCACCAAAGTAGAAGAAAAACTGGTGGAGTGTCATATCACAATATTCCTCTTTGTTTCATTTATGTACATACTGTTACTTCTGAAGTCTTGTTCTGTTGGTTCATTTTATTATTTTTTTGAGTCACCAAATCTATTATTCTAGTAATGACACTTATAGTTGCAAAGGAAGTACTTTAATGTTAACAGATTGGGCTGCCTTTACATGTTTGATAAAGTGTCCCCACACCCACCCATGTTGCTTGATAGATTGTAGACAATATTCTGGTATTTCTAAATCAAATGCGAAGCATATGCCTTTTACTGTAGCTTTTCTAGCTATTTCATGTGCCTAAATATAGCCTTAAAAAAATCTGTGGTAATCCATGGTTTCACTGATCTAAGAATTCAATAGGTGAGATGAGACAAGAGTGGGCACATTTATGGCTCATAAATATTAATATGCTGGTCTTCCTACATCCTCACAAAGGCAGAGGACCCTTGGATTTGAGACATAGATTTATTAAATTGTAAACTTTAAGTAGGCAGAAACTATGTCTGTTTGGTTCACCACTGTATGCCCAGAGCTTATCATAGTTTATGGCATGCAGTAGGCACTCAATATTTGTTGAATGAATGAATTATTACGGTTCTGTGGTTTGACCTCAGTTTATTTGGGCAACTTAATAAAATAGTAGTAATTTTTAATGTTAGAGGTTGTAGAGAGGTAAGTGTTCTTATACGTTGCTAGTGGACGTGTAATCGTATTAATCAGAGCTGCAAAGAGCCTTTTTCCAAATCAGATTAACATTCACAGGTTCTAAGGATGTGATGTGGATTTCTTTTGGGGGGATCAGTCTACCACACCTACCTTCAAGCTATTCCTCGCAAACCAACCTCGGTTTGAAATGGTAACTTGATCACGTCGCTCCTCGCTGCTCTCAGCATAAAGTCCAAACTTCAACACGGCTCTTCAGGATTTGGTCCCTGCTTGTTTTCTCCGGCCTCATTGCTTGCCACACCACAAACACACTCCATCTTTCAACCATTCTAAAAAACTCTTTATTTTTTGTTAGCTTCCATTTCCTCTCTTTCTTGCTTCTTGACCTTTCTTTGTACATTCTGTCTCTTTGGCAGGAACATGCACATTTCCTTTGCCTGTCTAACAGCTGTTTCAGATTTTAGCTTAGATGTCCTGATCTTCCATGAAGCCTTCCTGAATCACAAAATGCAGATCAGGTACACTGTCTCTATGTCTCCGCTTTCCCTATCACGATCTCTCTTATTAACTGTATTGTAATTGCACAGTTTCTAGTCCTAATTTCATAGTCCCTGGTTGACTATAAGTACTGTGAGGTCAGGGGCTCTGTCTGTTATATCATATCCCCAAGTTCCTGACACAGAGTAAATATTTGTTGAACAAATAAATAATAGAGGAAAAAAAGATGGATTGGAGTTCTAGCTGCTAAAATTTGGAGGTTTAGAGTTGGTTTATGTTTTTGAATAGATATGAAGGTTGAAAAGAACTTAATCTTTTTCTTGTTCAGGCTTATGGGATAAAGACACAAAGGTCTGCTGCTCTGTCACCAGCATTCTTATCTACAACCCTTTCTGCTTTGGATGAAGCCCTGCATGGTGGTGTGGCTTGTGGATCTCTCACAGAGGTAAAGGAGAAACTCTCAAACCTTCTGCTGACCTATAACCTTCAGAGCCAGGGGAAAAAATTTAGTAAAAAACATAAATTATTTCATGAATATTAATCTACATTAAATGATAAGTACCTCAGGGGCATGGTTCTCCAGTCAGTACCTAGCACAGTTGTTTTGATGTACCCTATTCGTACAATACATCAAAAGGAAGATGTTCAAAAAAATCCTTGCTGATTGAAGTCTGCCTAGGTTGCTGTTTTCTTCCAACTAGAAAGTGATGAATATTTTGAAATAATGTGAAACAATTTGGAGGAATTCAAAAAGGATCACTACTTTAGTATATTAGGAAAGAAAATTTGGAATTTTATTAATGTGGGAAAATTATAGTATTAAACTGAAGTGAGCAATTTTTACTTCCTGCTGTAGATAAAATTTGGTTCTATGAAGTAATAGGTTGTTGTATTAGTTATATATCATTGCATAACAAATTACTCCAAAACTAAGTGGCTTAAAACAACAATAAACATTTATTTTGGTCTCTTTGGGAGTGGCTTAGCTCAGCAGTATTGGCAAGGGATGCGGTATCTGAAGGCTTGGGGGGACTGGAGGCTGTTTCCCAGGGGGCTCACTCACATGACTGGCAAGTTGGTACTGGTTGGTGGCAGGAGGTCACAGTTCCTCCCCAAACAGTTTCTCCACAGCCTGCTTGAGTCTCCTCATGACACAATGGCTGACTTCCCCCAGGGTGAGTGATCCAAAGGAAGGCGCAATGGAAGTGGCAGTGCCTTTGAAGATTTAGCTGCAGAAGGTGCACACCATTACTTCTGCCACATTCTCTTCATTAGAAGCCAGTCATTAAGTCTAGTCCACATTCAAGGAAAGAGAAATTAGACTCTACCCTTTGAAAGTGTCAAGAATTTGAGGACATGTTAAGGCCGCCACGGTTCCTTTCCTTGAAAACTGCATTGGTGTGCTTACTGGTCCTGATCTGGTGACTCGATAGACTACGTTTACCAATACGCTAGGGGTATTGATTTACCAATACACTAGAGTTCTAGGGGCATAGATACTTTAAGCTAACTTCTAAATAAGAGATTCTTACATTCTGATAGTTATAAATTTAACTGTAGATTTTTTTCCTTGTAATAGTATCTAAAACAGGTTATAGTACAGATGTATACATAGTATACATACTATGTATAGTATAGTATCTAAAACAGGTTTAGAGGGCCGGCCCCGTGGCTTAGCGGTTAAGTGCGCATGCTCCACTGCTGGCGGCCCGGGTTCGATCCCTGGCGCGCACCGACGCACCGCTTCTCCGGCCATGCTGAGGCCGCGTCCCACATACAGCAACTAGAAGGATGTGTAGCTATGACCTACAACTATCTGCTTAGGCTTTGGGGGGAAAAAATAAATAAATAAAATAATTAATAAATAAATAAATAAATAAAACAGGTTTAGATACTATACTATTTTAGATACTATACTTTCTTTTATTTCCTGTTTTCTTTTATTTCCTGTTTTAGATACTATACTTTCTTTTATTTCCTGTTTTCCAAGAAAGATTTAAAAATTTGTGTTGTGCTATGCCCAGTAGATGCCTATTAGATAGCTGGTAAATGAATGAATGAGTGAATTAATCTTAAAAAAAAGAAAAAAAAAAGAAAAAAAAGAACCTGCTGTTGCAGGGTACTGCCACCAGATGGTGCCAGAATCCTATTTTACATAATCTTTTTGTCATCTTGTTAGACTTTTGCTCAAATAGGTTTCTAACGATAGTGATCCACAGTTATAAACTTATTTAAATAGCAAAAAATTTGAACTTGAAGAAGATTAACCAACAACTACTTTTTGTTTTTTAAGTTTTAGAACAATTTTCAATATTTTTTCACTTAGCTTTTATCAATTCATTCTGAATCCAAGTGGTAGTTACAAGCCATTTAGGTGTTTTGTCATGATTTACTTGGCTGACTTAGAATATAAACAGCCTGACTGCTTGTTAGTGGCAAGTTCTCTACTTTCTGTTCAGCTACAGGTAACCTCTTCAGTCTTTTTGGGATATTTCAGCTGAGTACAAGGAGTATTTCTGTTTACCTTTTATTAAAAAACAAAATTTTAGTGTATATTTTATGTATACAAGATTAAATATATGCTGCATATGTAAGTTATGAGCTCTTATGAGCCTATGACCCAATATAAGAACCAGAACAATGCCAAAACCACTGAAACCAACTGTGGGCTCCTCCCTAAGCCTATTTTTGCCCTTCTGTTGGGAGGTAACCTCCATCCTGAATTCCTATCATTCCTCTACTTTTTTTCCCGATAGTTGCCTAGACCTATAGTTTTCCTTTACCACCTATATACATAGGAAATATTACATTTTATTTAGTTTTGCTTATTTTTGAGTTCTATTAAATCATATCTGTGATTAAATCATATTGTATCTCTTCTATGAATTGCTTTTTTCACTTAATACTGTTTTCTAAGATTCATTCATGTTGTACATAGCAAGAATATAATTCACTTTCACTGCTGTATCATATTCCATTTTGAAAATATGCCACAATTTATTCATGCCTTCTCCTGTGAGTGAACGTTTGGGTTGTTTCCAGTTTGCTGCTAATATAAACAAATCCTGTGAAAACTATTGTACGTGTTTCCTGGATCACATGCACAGGAATTTCTCTAAGGCAGGGACTGGCAAACTCCTGCTCGTGGTCAAATCCAGTTCGCTGCCTATTTTTGTAAATAAAGTTTTATTGTATCACAGCTAAGCTCATTTGTTTACATTTTGTCTGTGGCTGTTTTCATGATACAAGGCCAAGTTGATTTAGTTGTGACAGAGACTTCATGATCTGCAAAGCCTAAAATGTTTACTGTCTGGCCCCTATCTAGGGTATCTACCTCGGAATAATTTGCTGGTTATAAAGTATGTGCATATGTAACTTTGCAGAATCAGGACAAATTGTTTTGCGGAGTGGTTGTGCCTGTTTATGTTCCTCTTGCTCCTTGTCATCTTGCCTTGGTATCAGACTTCTTAATTTCTCCCCATCCTTATGATCTTAATTTCTATTTCCCTGATTACTAATGAGCTTGACTATCTTTTCATAAATCATTTTGCTGTTTTAAAAAATAATTTATTAAAGTACAATTTAAATACTGTAAAATTCAACTATTGTAACTATAATTCAATTATATTAGTAAATTTGTAGTAAATGATCACCGCAATCCAGTTTTAGAACATTTCCATCATCCTAAAAAGTTTCCTCATGCCCATTTATAGTTAATCCCGCTCCCATTCTCAGCCCTAGGCATCCACTGATCTACTTCCTGTCTCTATAAATTTGCCTTTTCTAAACATTTCGTATAAATGGGATCATATGGTATGTAGTCTTTTGTGTTTGGTTTCTTTCACATAGCATGATGTGTTTGAGGTTCATGTTGTAGCATGTACTAGTAGTTTGCTCCTGTTGATTGTTGAAAGTATTCCCTTGTAGGGCTATGGCATATTTTATTTATCCACTCATCAGTTGATGGGTACTTGGATTATTTTCAGTTTTTGTCTATCAGGAATAATGCTGCTATGAACATTCATGGACATGTCTTTGTATGGATCTGGGTTTTTGTTTCTTTTGGGTAGATTCCTAGGAGTGGAATGGCTAGATCATATGATAGATATATGTCTAACTTTTTAAGAAACTCCCAGACTATTTTCCAAAGTGGCTGTACTATTTTACATTCTCACCAGGAATGCATGATGGTTCATTTCTCCAAGTCCTCACCAACACTTAGTATTGTTTATCCTTTTTTTTTTTTTTCCTGAGGAAGATTCACCCTGAGCTAACATCTGTTGCCAATCTTCCTCTTTTTGCTTGAGGAAGATTCACCCTGAGTTAACATCTGTGCCAATCTTCCTCTACTTTTTTTTTTTTTTGTGAGAGAGATTGGCCATGAGCTAACATCTGTTGCCAATCTTTCTCTTTTTGCTGAGGAAGATTGGCCCTGAGCTAACATGTGTGCCCATCTTCTTCCATGTGTATATGGGACACTGCCACAGCATGGCTTGACGAGCGGTGCGCAGGTCGGTGCCTGGGATCCAAACCTGAAAACTGCGGGCTGCCGAAGCTTAACCACTGTGCCACTGAGCCAGCCAGCCCCCAATCTACCTTTATTTTGTATGTGGGTCACTGCCACAGCATGGCTGCCAATGAGTGATGTAAGTCCGCTCCTGGTAACTGAACCCGGGCCACTGAAGCAGAGCGTGCTGAACTTAACCACTAAGCTGCAGGGCCAGCCCCTATTGTTTACCTTTTTGATTTTAGCTCTTGTAGTGGATGTGTAGTGGTTTTTCATTGTGTTTTTAATTTGCATATCCCTAGTGATTAATGATATTGAACACCTATTCATGTGTTTATTAGCCATTTATATATTTTCTTTAGTGAAATGTCTATTCAAACCTTTTGCCTGTTTTTAAATTGGTTGGTTGTTTTCTTGTTGTTGAGTTATAAGAGTTCTTTATATGTTCTGGATACAAGTCCTTTATTAGATATATGATTTGCAATTATTTTCTTCCAGTCTGGCTTGTTTCTTCATTTTCTTAATGGTAGCTTTTGAAGGGCAAAGTTTTTAATTTTGGTGTAGTCCAATTTGTCAATTTTTTTCTTTTATACATTATGCTTTTGATGTCATCTCTAAGAACATTTTGGCCAAGGACAGAAAGATTTTTGCTATGTTTTTTTCCTAGAGTTTTATAGTTTTAGTTTTTATGCTTAGTCTATGATCCATTTTGAGTTCATTTTTGTGTGATTTATTTTGAGTTAATTGGTAGAATGAATTGTGGAATATCTCCTTTTTTTAATATTCTGTGATAGTTTGTATAAGATTAGAATTATTTGTTCCTTGAAAATTTGGTAGAACTTGCCTGAAAAATTGTCTGATCCTGGTATTTTCCTTGTGGGAAGATTTTAAAAAATCAAGTCAATTCCTTTAATGATTATAGGACTAGTCAGATTTTC